CTACATATAGAACATATTGTTAAAAAGTTTCCGCTTAAAAATATCAATATCTTTAGTATTCCTAATGTTGTCAGGTAGACCATTCCATTCCCATGGGCCACGAAAATGAAATGCTCTTTGTCCCATCGACAATCTACATCGGGGGATCACAAAATCATTACATCCCCTTGTGTTCCTATTGTAAACTGCTGAACACTTAACAAAATATTTACGTAAATAGTCTGGAGCTAAACCATTTGCTTTTAAAGCATTAGGGAACATGCAACTCTTAGCAGACCCTGTTGTTGTTTTTATCTCTGGGATTCTACCATGTTTGCCCTACCATTTGTATCTCACCAATCACTACCTCTTAGTACTGACAAGGAAAATTCATTCAACAATGAAAGCTTGTAAGGTTAGCAATCATTTCTTGTTTTCTCATGTAGAAATTAGATGTTAGACTGCTTACCTTGGATTCTAACCCACCAGATTTCTCCTCTCTATCATGTCTAATTGACAAGTAAAGTCTTTGGCCATCAGTTCTTGTTATGGGGACTGATTCACAGCTCATAGGGGGTCTACGGAACACCTTCCTTCTCTCTGGCTTTGTTGAAGGGATTTCATTTAACCTTCTGTCAATGCTGGTCACAGTTTGAGACTGGTTTGAACTTGGTTGTAGCTGTCTAAGGGGACTTCGCATACTGGGACTTAGAAGATGATAATCTGCATCGCAACTAGCACCATTTTTGCCTGGACTGAGGCGAGCCTTCTTTTTACAAGGAGCTAAAAAGATAAGTTAAACGAATTCCCAGGTAAGCTGTATAAGCAAGACAACTCAACTACATTGTAAATAACATAAGTTTGTGTCACCTCTCCTCTGCTCAATGTTTCAATTGATATAAGCCCTGGGATTGCAAAATCCTGCAAGGGATTTAAGTATAGCTTATGGGAGGTACCAGTAGACTGTAGAACAAAAACAATGCTAACCCTTTGGTGCTTAATCTTACAGTGGATCTCTAATAAGATTGTGTACTCTTATTAAAAGTTTTAATACACAGTTACTAGGGGAATACTGTCTGGATATAACTCCAAAACACTAGGCCATTGAAATAACAAAAAGGATTGTGTAGAAAGCTCACAAGATACTTAACCAAACCATGCTCATTGTGTGTAGAATAAAAACAGTGGCAAACAAAATGGTTGCAGATTGGGGTGGTGTTATGGGATTTCTGATTTTTTTTGGTTTCTAGGAGTGAGGGCCATAGAGGAGCATGCCTCACAAGATCCTTACTTAGTGACCAAGTCATATAATGACAAGATACTGCAGATTGAGCCACTGAAGACTGGCTGGTACCCATTCATGCCCATAGGTGGGGATGGATCCCCAGTCACTGTCCCTGGGTCACAAAAAAATAGCACAATGGGACAACCTTTGACCAGGGGAGGGGAATGAGGGAGAAAGAGGGGAAACAAATGTAGGGATAAAATTTTTCAAACAATTGTATAGAGGACTGCTGTTGCTACTAGAGTATTAACTGGCATAACAACTAATTTACAAACCTGCATCAAGAGGATATGGTTCATCTTCTACATCATCCTCTAAGAGAGGCAAGAACATTTCATCACAGTTTCGCTTTTTTGAGTTAGGTTGTTCATTGAGTTTAATGATAGACACACTATCCAACTCTACTCCATTGTTCACAGCTTCCTTAACATCAAGAAAATTTAAGCCTTTCTTTGAAGATGGAGCAACATCTGTCACAAAAACACATGAACCAGAGTAATAAATGGGTCATCAAAGACTCATCTCAACGAATGATTGAATGAAAACCTTTATTTAAAGAGGGTAGCACTTAATAGCCAGAGGCTAATAAACTTGTGGCCCTCACAGATTACACAACTATATACAATCAGATAAATAAGTAAGCTAAAATATGTAAACATTTAAAATAAGCATTTAAAACAAGACAAGATTCAATTAAGAATATATTATTAAATAGTAAAATGATGCAAACATTGTTGTTCCTTAAAAATCTTGGCACACATGTTCTTTTTAAAACACGCTATAGAATCTAGTTTCCTAATTTCAATAGGTATACTATTCCACAGTCTTGTAGCTGAAACAGCAAAAGAGCATCCTCCCTCTGATTCTCTTTTGTATTTAGGACAAACAGCATTAATGCTTGAATATCTAGTGTTGCGGGAGTGCCGCTTATTATTCAAAATTAAGTGTTCATTTAGATAATTCGGCAAACAGCCATTAATTCGCTTATACATTATATGCATTTATCTAATATCTTATGTTGCTCATAAAACGGAATCCAACCTAGCTTGTTAAACAAAGCAACTGATGGTGTCATGCGATCGGCATAAGAAATAACTCGTGCCACACGTTTTTACAATCTTAAGACCCTATAAACCGACTCTTTGTTGCAATTTGCCCAAACCACGTTAGCGTAAGACATAACAGGGCGAATAATGCTATTATAAAACTGAAGTCGCTGTTTAAGAGGTAAACAGGCTCGAATCTTACGCAGTATTGCGATTCTAGAGGCCATCTTTTTACATACTTTCTCAATATGTTCATTAAATGACAATTTGCTGTCAATTTCTTCTCCTAATAAGGTAGCACAATCCACATCATTGAGCTGTTTTCCATTTACAGTAACAACTATGTCAATTCCATTTATGTCAGCCACACATCTTTTCCCAGTGATCGTGAGTACTTTAGTCTTGTCTTCATTTAATGGGAGCTTATTTGCTAAAGCCCATAATTGAATTTCAGAGACAGGCTTATTTAGTGATGAACTTAAGTTGGCTAAGTTTTTCACATCTGCAAAAGTGTTGACCGTCGTACTGTATGCGTAAAGGTCTAACTGAGCACTTGTATACAAGGGCAAATCATTAATAAACAAAATGAAAAATAAAGGACCTAAAATACTGCCCTGAGGGACTCCATGCAACATCAAAGCTTCGCTTGACTCACTCCCATTTACACGGACAATTTGCTTCCGATCTGACAAATAAGAGTGACACCAGGCAAGCTCCCGGTTGACTATACCGTACAGCTCTAACTTGCACAACAATAGCTTCTGGTCCACCATGTCGAAAGCCTTTTGATAATCGACCAGGACCATGCCGCATACATGATTGTTATCTAAGCCGAACAAAAGCTCGTCAACTAACTTAATTAGAGCAGTCTCAGTACTGTGCATCCCACCAAACCCAGACTGTCTAGAGTAGAAGTTATTATCCATAAGAAAAGCATATAAAGAATTGTGCATATGACGTTCGATTACTTTTGAGACCACTGGTAGCACAGAAATCGGGCGATAATTAGACGGATCACTGGCCGCACCCTGTTTGAACAGTGGTGTCACGTTAGCGGTTTTCCAACGAGTAGGAAACGTTCCTGTGGAAAACGACATGTTGATAAGCCTTGCTATACTTGGAGCTAAAATAAGAGCAGCAATATGCAAAAACCTGGCGCTGATTTTATCGATACCTGCAGCCTTGTGAGGACTGATCCCCTTTATAATTTGGAGCACCTGAGCATTGGTTATGTCTGGAACAGAGAAATCCATATCCGGATCTTTGCAGGACTCCACAAAGTTTACCAACTTGGAAAAGTCTGATGGCGTATTTCCGAGTCCGGATCTCAGATTATCGGTAATTGAGGAAAAATATAAATTAGAATGCTCTGCAATTTCTGTAGCATTTTCAACAGCCTTGCCATCCAAGATATTCAACATCCAAGACATTTCACTGTACATTTTGTATGTCACTCAAATACTTTTCTTTCTTACAGGACAAAAAAAAACAATGAGTAATCCTACACTAGGGGGGACTGGGGCATATTAATTACTCTGTTCTGTTATGATTTAGGCCCTTTTCCTCCGAATTCTAAAAGCAATCGCGCCAGCAGCGTCACTGTGCCACTTTCAGCTCCTTTTCAGACAAGGTGGACCTCAATGGCCCTGTATTCTGTAGTTGCTCCAAAAAACACCTCATAAGCCCCAAGGCGTATCCGATTTGCTTACCGCTTGGAAGTTACAAAATCAAAATTTTCGTTGGGAATTGCCCGATCAAAAAGATTCCATGGATTCCTCCACAGATTCCACTAGCTAAAATTAATGTTCGATCCACATTTCAGTTAACTCTGTAGAATGATTGAGATCTAGATCTCGGGATACAATGGAGCCAAATGTAGTGAACTTCTTCGGTTTAGCCTTATATAATGCTATACTCCGAGAAGTGTGCCGACGTAGGCGTATTTTCAACCCCTAGAGGGCCCTCTCGTCTGCAAAAGAATCTTACCCTCTTTATCAAACTCATCGAGCAAGTCCAGTTCATCGGCGTAGCGAGATTCAAAATCATCGTCTTCATTGGGAATTTCCCACTCTTCCATGCTCGTAGATTTCGCGATTTTTAGGTTGATTTGTTCTGTTATCAGTTTACAAAGCAGTCTTGTTCCTCCTCGAACAAATTCGCGCCAAGAACGTACCGGGTGCCTATCACGTGATTTCTAATGACGTCACTCATCAACGAAATCGAGGCTGGGGAATACCCAACGAAGTCTTTCATTTTCATTTGAGTCGAAGAACCGAAATTTCTCTCAATTTAGGGTTGTATGAACTTTTTTTATAATTGTTCGAAAGTGGAATCTCATTTGATCGCTGTTATAGTGATAGACTGCAACTTAGGTGAAGCGGAAGTGATTGAAACTTCTCGATGGCAGAGGAATTGGAACTAACACTAAACTTTGAGTTTCGAGGTTTTTTGCTTCAACTTGGAAAGGAATTGTCGTCACAAAACCTTGAACATTTAAAGTTTGTTTTAGCAGATTACTTCTCCGCTCAGTGTGAGGAAATGACATTTTGTACGTATTTTGATGAATTGAAAAAAAGGTGTTTTCTCAGTCCGACCAATTTTGGTGTGTTGAAGAAAGGTCTCGACAAAATTGGGCGACAAGATCTTGTGGACAAAATAGTACAAAAAGAACAATACTTTGCAAAGTTTTCAATTCCAAGTGGTGCACCAAACTTGGGAACATACGGTTTGTATCAAGAATTTTCTTGAGCGTTTACATTCACATCATGATCAGAAAAGCTTTGTATGAGGACGCATGTGGATAACGGGGTTTGAAGTTTTACGGAATTCTTCCCCATGTATCGAACAGATATCAGTGGTTCTCTCTCTGCAGCCAGCGTGCAATCGGCATATTTTTCTGAAAATAGAGCGCTCAAAATTCCATTAGTTTGTTACAGAGGGAGGAAAGCCTAGAGCATAAATTAAAACAAAAAGTAAATGGGGAAGGGTTGAGAGGGAAGAAAACTCCCCCTTCAGTGCATTTCCAGCAGAGGTGATGAGAAGAACAAAATATATCAAATAGGGAATGTGGCTTGATTTTACGCCAAGGTCTCTCAACATAATTTTAAAGAAATGCAAGATACACAAAACATGTCAAATTGATACAGGATAATGTGGTAGTTAGTGGAAGGGTCGAATCAGGTTCATAATAATTTTATGATAGATCAATTAATGCATCAACTGATATAACTTAAACATTGATCCTAATTGTTATCTAGAGTCCTGCCAAAACTATTCCAAAATTATTCATGATACTATATTATCCAGTTGCAATATGATTATATAACATCTAGTTTATTGTCTATACTCGGTTTGTAATAGGAGTAAGTTGGATTTAAGGATTATAGCTAGCTTGTTAAACAAAGCAACTGATGGTGTCAT